GTTGTTGCATGCTTTGTTATGATGTGTCCTTCTCGTGCCCTGTTCTGACAGGCTGTGACATGTTGTGCGTTGTTACTTTGTGGTGTTTGGAAATCGTATTGTAAGTTATGATATGGTTTGTCATTGGACGGATGCTATGGCTTGTATGGTATGGTTTGTCATTGTATAGTTTGTCATTGGACGGATGCAATGGTCTGAGTTCTGTCATGGTATGGTTTGTCATTGTACGGAATGCTATGTGCGTTGATGTTGTGATACGGTGTAATGTGTTCTGCCATGGTGTGTTATGTGTTGATATGTCATGCCATGGTATGGTATGGCAAGTTCGAGCATGTTATCTTATGAGGTGTGGTGTTGTTGTTAGTTGGGTATCATTGTGTATGTCATAGTGTATGGTGGCATGCGCTGCTATGGTTTGTTATGTTGTAGAATAGTATGTCGCGCTCTGCCATGTAATGATTCGTCGTGTGTGCTACGATGCTATACGTCATAGTATGCTTTATGTGATGTTGTGTAAGATTGTGGTGTGCACGTTAACAGTAAGGCATGGTAGGTTATGCCATGTTATGGTACGTTATGTTCTGTTATGGTATTGGCTATCCCGTATGTCTGGCCATGGTGTGTTATGGTTTGATATGGTATGTCATGGTACGGTATGGGATGCCCGAGTGTGATATTTTTAGGAGGTGTGGTTGCGTGCCTTGTTATGTGTGATACAGGATGTGCTAGTGTATGGTGTATGGTGTTATGTAACATCGTATGTCGCGCTCTGTCATGGTACGGTTTTTCATGTGCGCAGCGGTGCGATATGTCATGTTATACATGTTGTGTAGTGTTATGGCGTGATAGTTCACGGTACAGTATGGTATGTTATGTAATGTTATGTTATCGTTTGTTCTGTTATGGTATGGGTTGTTTTGTCTTTTATAGCATGCGTTGTTGTGACGCGTAGCGTTTTGATATGATGTATCATGGTTTGTGAGGTTGTGGTATGTCCTGTGTTGGTATGTTCAGTTCTGCGTTGGCATCGTATGGTTTGTTTGGTGTGTCTTGATATAGGTTGTGTGATGAGATGCTGTGCTATGGTATGCACTTGTCTGTCATGGTGTGTTGTGTTACGGTATATTCTGAACGTTTCGCGTATCCCCACCAGTCTTGTTCTCTTTCTCTCGTGTGTCTCTCCTCCTCTCCCTCGGTGCAATGTTGGCTCCGGCTTGTTAACTGTAGCTCTGGACGGCGCGCGGCCCTTCCGTATGCGCTCGCGACCAATAATCCCCACCAGCCCATCCAGAAACGATCAGCAGGGGAGTTGGTAAATCAGGAACGGCTGGAAGCATGCATTTGCGCGGCTGTCTTCAGAAAAACAAGGATCACAACTAGCTTCCCGCATTGAAGTCTAAGATGGAAATCAGTACAAGATACGGCGTGGTGCCCCCCGTAATGTCTCTAGCGCAGGTGGTTGTATCCACCCTGGGCCATGATAAACAAGGATCACACTTAGCTCCCCGCAACGAAGTTTAAGATGGAAACCAGTGCAAGATACGCCGGGGTGTTCCCTGTGGTAAGCGTCTCTGGCGCAGGTGGCTGCCTCTATCATTCGTCGCCCTTGTCGCACAGTTGAGAGTCGCATCCCCACGTGCATCCTTGATATTTGGCCCCGCACTGAAGTTTATCTTAAACTCGCGTGCGGCTGCTGGTGATGGTGATGGTGGCGTTGGCGGTGGTGGTGACGCTGCTGGTGTTGCTGCTTTTGGTGGTCTGTTGCCCTCTTGGAACCATCTTGGAGCAAGTGGTGCTGCTGGTGCTGGTGATGCCTGGGGCCATCTTGGGGGTTAGAGGAGGAGTGGGAGGAGGAGGAGGAGGAGGAGGAGGAGGAGGAGGAGGAGGAGGAGGAGGAGGAGGAGGAGGAGGAGGAGGAGGAGGGGGAAAAACATAACAGGAGGAAGGGAATGAGGAGGAGGAGGAGCAGGAAACGCGGCGCGAGGAAACGCGGCGCGAGGAGTCCGTCGTAGAATATGATGTTCTATTCTATGAGGGCCCGAGAGGTTCTTGCTAGAGGTTTGGGGGTTTGGGGGGAACTCTTGGGGCCATCTTACGGGCTCTCCAGGGCTCCCCGTGGGGCTCTCTTGGGGCTCTCTTGGGGCTCCCTTCAGTCTTTTTGGAGCTCGTTTGGTGAGTCTTGGGGCTCTCTTGGGGCTCTTGTGGGGAGTCTGGGAGGCCCTCTTGGGGCCGTCTAGGACCCCTTTTCTCAAAAAGAGGGGGGCAGTAAATGTAGGCCCCCCCTCGGAGGCCCAAAAGGGGCGTCTTGGGGCCCTCTTGGTCCGCTCTTGGGGCGCTCTTGTGCCCTCTTGGGGCCCTCTTGGGCCTCTCTTGGGGCTATGTTGGGCCATTTTGGGGCCATCTTGACGCCTCAAGAGCCCATAGGAAGCGAACAAGCGAAAAGGCAAAGCACATTGATTTCCCGAAGGTGTTGAACCCATGTTGGCCTCTTGGGGGGGTCCTTGGAGGGCTCGGAGGGCACTTGAAACCGTCGTGGGCCGTCTTGAGGCCTCTTGGATGCGTGTTGGATGCTATATTTAGCCGTCTTGAGGTATATTGGGCGATCTTGGAGGCCATATTGGGCTACTAAAGCCCTCTTGAAGCTATTTTGGGCCATCTTGGACGCTCTAGCCCCTCGCGGGGGAGCCCGTCCAGACCCAGGGAGGGGGGAGGGAGGTAAACTTCCCAAGCAGGGAAAGGAGGGGTGCTGGAAAAGGAAACGCTCTAGACCACCTGCGCCCAGAGGGCTGGTCGGATTATGTCGTGATAGGGTATGTTGCGCTCATATGTGTTATGGTACTTGATGTGGTGGTATGACCTGTCCTAGCTTAAGATGGTGTGCTGTTCTACGTTCTGCTATTTAATTCGAGCGCTCTGTCATGTTATGATTTGTCGGCGCGAGGCGCGACACTCGGGACATTCGGGGGATCTGGGAATCTGGCGGCCGCTGTATTCGGAGTGGCGCGAGGCGGCACTCTCTGGGACCTTCGGGGGACCTAAGGATCTGGCGGCCGCGGTTTGCAGCGTGGCGCGTGGCGGGACTCTCGGGGACACTCGGGGGACTTGGGGATCTGGAGGCCACGGTGGGTCTGCAGAGTGGCGCGAGGCGGGACTTTCGGGGACACTCGGGGGCTTGAGGATCTGGCGGCCGCGGTCTGCAGAGTGGCGCGAGTCGGGACGCTCGGGGATATTCGGGGAATTTGGGGATCTGGCGGCACGGTATGCAGGGTGAACGGGTCGGGAGGCTTGCTTTTGAAATTTAGCGACCCCAACTTGTCGGGGGGGGGGGAGGGGAATGTACGGGGAATGGACGTCCGAGCGATGGCAGGCGTTGCGGTGAGAAGAATCCGAGTCTGCGTCAATCCGCCTCCCTCCGTTCCGTGTTGGTGGAGTTTGCGGGGACGTGCCGATCGCTCCGCCAGCAGAGCACCATCCAAGGCCCGCCCGCGAGGACCAGCCCGGGCACTGGAGCCTTCAGCGCTGTGTCGTGAGACCAGCTCTCGGCATCGTGGGCGCTCGTGCCAAATGATGGCTGGTTGGCTGTGGAATACGGAACTGGAACGGCTGAGGTACGGGATCAGCTGCCACCCCAAAGCATGGCCCCAGAGCGGTCTATGTGTGGGCGTTTGTGGGTCGGAGGAGGGCCGCAGCTCAACGTACCCCTGAGAGTGCTCTGGGCTGGCAGACCTGCGCCCCTGGTAGCCACACGTGCAGAGGGCGGCGGAGGACGATATCGATCACCACGTGGATAAAGACCCCATGAGTTCACGCCGGGCCCGCTTGCCCCTTTTTGGCCTCTATGCATAGCCGGGGTAGCCAGACCGTTTAGACGGTCGGTTCGTGAAGCTCGTCACCGGTACTTCCGATCTTTTCTCGTCACGCTGTTTGTCATGAGGCCCCGCCATCGGTCCAAGGAGGTGGCCGCTCTTTGTCCCAAGCAGTCCCCTCCCCTCTGCCCTCTCAGCTGTTCAGTCTCTGCGCGTTTGGTCCACGAGCCGGCTGGGTTGGACGTCCAGGCGTGGACCAACGTGCCCGATACGTCAGGGGTTGCCGGGCGAAGTGCACCATCCAGCCGGGGGGTCGACATGCGGGGACCCGTCCGGGGTTAGCATCGCGGAGTTCAGGCTGAATACGTTCTTAATTCTGTAAGTGGAGTAGGGGCGACATGCCAGCGGAAGTAAGGTCCAGAGTGACACGTCGACCGCACCAATGCGACACAAGGAGTTCTGGCATCTGAGAAGAGACGCTTGAGGAAGGGAGAAAGGGGTAGTCCCAGAAGGTCTTTCATGCTGCCCCAGACCCTCCCCCCAGCTCTCGGCTAGCAAATCCCCTCGTCCTTCCCCCCATCATCATCATCATCATCATCATCATCATCATCATCATCATCATCATCATCATCAGCATCATCATCAGCATCAGCATCAGCATCATCATCATCAACATCATCATCATCAGCATCAGCATCAGCATCAGCATCAGCATCAGCATCAGCATCATCATCACCATCACCATCATCATCATCATCATCATCATCATCATCATCAGCATCATCATCATCATCATCATCATCATTATCATCAGCATCAGCATCAGCATCATCATCAGCATCATCATCAGCATCACCACCACCACCATCATCATCATCGTCATCGTCATCGTCATCATCGTCATCATCATCGTCAACGTCATCATCATCGGCGTCATCATCATCATCCTCATCATCATCACCGTCGTGATCAGCATCACCACCAAGGATCCTCAGCATCAGCGGTGGCCGCTGCGGAATTATTTTCCCAGCATTGTTGGGGTACCAATCCGTCAATAAGTCCGCAGAAGAAATCATGAGTTTCCCAATGCGGTGGTGAATCTGAAAGGCCCTTTGCGTTGAGGTGCATCAAGGCCTTGCAGTGCCCCCGCGATGGGCGAGGGGGCCGACGGGGCCCGGCGGCCGGCGCGGTGAGGCTGGCCATTGCCCCAGCAGCCGATCTGGGTCGCGCAGGTCCCGCTCGAGGTCCACGGCGCGGGCGCGGTGGAAGGGGGAGGCGTCGAGGGTTGGCTGGACGGGGCTAGGACGAGGATGGATCCGTTCCAGAGTGTTCTGGAACGTTCTTTGAGAAGGCCGCGGCGCCCTAGAAATCCCCCAGAGTTGCCGGATCTCAGAGGTGCTCGATTTATCCTCACCCGATTTTCTCTTCGTCTTGGCTTCGTCTTAGTCGAGGGAAGAAATCGATTAGACATAAAGTGACCTTTCGCCGGAGTGACCTTTGGTGCGGGACCAATGGGGTCCTCCGATCGCCGAACGCGATGCGGTGGTAGCGTCTTGCGCATTTGTCTTTGGTCCCCCTTCGGCCCCGAAAAAGCCGCGCACCAAAGGTCACTCTTACCCAGGGTCACTCTTGCGTGCAGTTGAAGAAACATGGAGACCATGACCAAGATGTCGCGGGACTTTGTCAATGCCGACCTTGGTCCATGCCGGCCGTCGCAGATTTGCGAGGATGCTCCACAAGTTTACGTTGCAGGGGGGAATGCGGAGCGGGGCATCTACCAGGGCCCATTTCGATTCCTCCGATGCGATTCGATTCGACTTCGATGGCTTCCGCTTCCGATTCGATTCAACTTGGGATTCCGATTTGGATTTCCGATTTCTCCATGGAGGCCTTGCGAGCCTGCCGATTTTCACCGATCTGACTTCTCCCGACTCGGCTGCCGATTTTCTCCGATCCGATTCATTTCGATCGCGGATCCGACTCATCGATTCGAGTCTGGGCTGCTCTGGAATGTGGAGGGGGGCATCTACGGGTGATCAGGTTCCCGCAGATGAGGACATTCGAGTAAGAACGGATTGTAGAAAGAGAAATTTCCGGAGGTCCGCGCGGATTGCGTGGATCGGTGTTGAACCCCTATTCTTGGCGCGCGGGGGGCGCAAGGGACGGCGTCGGACCGCCGATCCAAAAGAATCCATGCGGAGCTCCGAAACTTTCTGTTCATGCTCGTGTTTCTTATTCTAGTCATCGCGAGCGGATGCGTTGTCAGATGAAAAGTCAGCGGCCCGAGCATCTCTCTCCTTGTTGGCAGTTGTCCCCGCTCGCGGTTCCCCGAGCCTCGCTCGTGAAAGGCACGAGGGGGAAGGGGTGGGCCAGCGGAGCGAGCGACGAGCGCGTCCACGTCCCTGCCACTGCGGTCTGGACGTCGAGGCGCGATGCCATGGGAACGCTGCACGCGTGGGATCCGCAGCACGCCGCCCTGGTCGGTGGGGGTCGCGGCAGCGCGGCCGCGGATGCGGATATGTTCACCGCCCGCGAAGAGGTTGGAGGACGCGAGGGGAATAGACACGGCAGGCGAGATTGGCGGGGAAGTTGTCCCGTTGTCTCTCTCTCCTTCTCTCTCTCTGTTGTTCTCTCTCTCTCTCTCTTTCTCTCACTCTCCCTCTCTCTCTCTCTCTTTCTCTCCCTCTCTCTCCCTCTCTCTCTCTCTCTCCATATTCTCTCTCCCTCTCTCTCTCTTTATCTCTCTGTCCCTCTCCTCTTTCTATATATGTATATATATATGTATATATAGATAGCTCTCTCTCTCTCTCTCTGCCTGTCTCTCTTTCCTCTGTTTTGTTGTTCTCTCTCTCTCTCTCTCTTTCTCTCTCTCTCTCTCTATCTCTTTCTCCTCCCTCTCTCCCTATATATGTATATGTGTACCCCTCTCTCTCTCTCTTTTTCTCCCTCGGGGAGCAAACGGGAAAAGTGAGGTGTCGATGGCAGAAGGTAGAGGACAAGCAGGGAAACAGTCAGGGTTGACGGGATGGTGGGAATGTGTTTCTCTCTCTCTCTCTCTGTTGTTCTCCCTCTCTCTCTCAATCAATCTGTCTCTTTCGCTCTCTATCTACCTGTCTGTCTGTCTCACTATATATGTAAGTGTGCACCTCCACATATAGATATGCAAATACACAATCGCACACACAATAACACTATGCGTACCTCTATCCTCCCTCCCATGGCACTGCACGCATTCAAAAGACTTACGCCATCCCGCCGACGCCCGACGTCATACGTGCTGTGCGCCGCTTCGCGTCATGCTGCTTGCGTGTCGTTGTTGCTGATTCGTCCTCTGCGAGTTCTCCCTCTTGGCCCTCTCATTGGGTCCCTCCTGAGGCCTCCTGGTCTTGGGAGCCTCTTGGGCCGTCTCCTGGCCCTCTTGGAGGCCGTCTTGCGCAGGTCTGGGAGCCTTTCGGGCCGTCGACGATAGCGACGACGACGATCACGACGAACCGACGGCGACGACGACGACGACGACGACGACGACGACGACGACGACGACGACGACGGCAACGACGACGGCGACGACAACGACGACGACGGCGGCGGCGGTGGCGGCGGCGGCCCCGACGAACACAGAAGCCCGAGATGGGAAGACCCCGAAAATCGCATCAAAGCATGAAAAGCCCAATGACTTTGCCTCCCGAGGTCCCTCTTCGGGGTCCTCTGGTGGCGTCTTGGGTCGTCTTCGGGCCGCCTTGGGCTGTTCTTGATGCTTCCGGGGCCCTTCTGGAGCCATACCTTAAGGCATCTTGGGCATCTTGGTGGCCACGCACTGTGGGTCTGAAGACTCCGAGGGCCCCATGAGGTGCGTTGACGAGCTCGTACCATCTGTCCCCCTGCGCCCCCCCCACCCATGAATGGCATTTAGACCGAAGGCGAGGGGGAGAGGCAGAGGTGGACAGCTAAATGTCACACACACGCACACACACAAACGCACACACACACACACACTCACACACACACACACACACGCACACACACACACACGCACGCGCACACACACACACACACACACACACACGCACACACACACGGACACTCACACACACACACACACACACACACACACACACACACACACACACACACACACGCGCGCGCACACGCACACGGCTACAGGTTTTCACCCCCGGCGGGGGGGGATGTGGCGGACTTGCCTCTGTCGATCCCGTATCTTATGTTCACGCACAGGATTGCCCAAATGTAATGTTCGATATGTTTTTGCATTTCTCATCTGAAATGCCTCGGTCCCTCATCAGTTGGGAACTGTATAGCTTCCGTGCAGTTCAAAGGCGCTATCTTCGAAGCGCTGGCCGTACCCCTGCATCAGAAAAACGTGGTGTTCCCGCTGGAGCGTCTGCCACGTTCCAGGATTTCCGCAGAGCTCCAGCCCAACGGAACGACGCTCTCGCCGCAGCGCTGGCCGAACCCCTCCATCAGCGGAAGTGGTGTCCCCGCTGAGGCGTCTGCCACGTTCCAGGGTTCCCGTCGAGTTCCTGTCCAATGGAACAGCGCTCTAGCCGCAGCGCTGGCCGTACTCCTGGATCAGGAAATACGTAGCTTCTTCTGCAGCGCTTGCCCCATGTAGATATTTCCATGCGCATCCGTCCAACAGGCCGACGCTCCCGCCGCAGCGTTGGCCGTACGATTGTACCAGCGAAGGGCGCGTTTCCTCTTCAGCGTTTGCCACGTCTCAGAATTCACATGAAGCTTCCGACCAACGGAACGTACACCCAACGCGGCGGTGGACGCACTCCCGAGTCAGCAAAAGTGCAGTGTTTCTTTGGCGTCTACATGGTCCCATGTTTTCTTCGACAGGGAGTCAACTCCATGGTAAGGGATGGGCGGGACGAGGTTCATGTCAGAGCACGCAGGGTGCCGGGGGGGAGAGGAATGCATTTCGCTCTCCATGTCTCTTTTTGTTTGTTATTCCGTAAGGGCTTCGCCCCCTGCCGCCGGCCCCCTCTCTCGGATAATGGGCCATGGAAGAGCTAAGTCATGAGGCTTTGGCGCTGTCGTGCAGCAGTATCGGAACTTCATGCGAGGCCGATTCGCAATCGGCAAAACCAACTGATCACAAGAGGGGTTACCACACAGGGCGATTGGTAAGACGTGTATGGTTTACGAGCTTGGTTACCACACCTTGGGATTAAAGGGCCGAGGGAGTACTCGCAGTTTGGGTTACCACGCCTTGCGATGGATGTGCGTGAGGGGTGGCACCGAATTTTGAGAAATGTGGCAAATCCCTTGTGTTTTTGGACCCTGACCCCGCGGATCTGCGTGAGGGGTGGCACCGAATTTCAGAAATGTGGCAAATCCCATGTGTTTTTGGACCCTGACCCCGCGGATCTGCGTGAGGGGTGGCACCGAATTTCAGAAATGTGGCAAATCCCCTGTGTTTTTGGACCCTGACCCCGCGGATCTGCGTGAGGGGTGGCACCGAATTTCAGAAATGTGGCAAATCCCCTGTGTTTTTGGACCCTGACCCCGCGGATCTGCGTGAGGGGTGGCACCGAATTTTGAGAAATGTAGCAAATCCCCTGTGTTTTTGGACCCTGACCCCGCGGATCTGCGTGAGGGGTGGCACCGAATTTCAGACATGTGGCAAATCCCTTGTGTTTTTGGACCCTGACCCCGCGGATCTGCGTGAGGGGTGTCGATTTCGAGCCCCCCCAGCAATTCAGACAACGCGCCCAGGAGGTGCTAAAAATCCCGTCTGGGCCTCCCCCCCCCTCGCGCGGTCAATCAACTAGTTACAGTAACCAGCAAGAAGTCAACTAGTTACAGCAACCAGCAAGAAGCAGAACTGCAACACTGGAAACTACAAGCTACAACTGGTACTGGAAACTGCGAACCCGTGCCTCGCAGCCTGGTGGCCCCACAAGGGGGCCGGCGGATTTCCCTCTCTCTTCCTCTCTCTCCCTACGTCTTTTGACGATGCAGATTGGAAAATGAACCTTCTGAAGGCACCCTCTAGGAATGCGCATCCTCCCTCTATAGAATCGCTCTGTCCGCCCTTTAGAGTACCCCTCTAGAGGCCCCCTCGAGAGACCCCTCCCTCTAGAGGCGCCCCGCGAGTTACACCAGAGCCCACTAGAGTCTCTGGGGTCGTCTCCTAGTGTCTCCACAACACTCCTACCGAAGAGTGGCGCCTTTCAAAGCACACAGATTCTACCACTCGCGCGTTCGGGCCTTCTAGAAGCCCCCAGATGGTGTGCGACTCGCACGTCTGGTGTCTTCAGACATCCCCACCCCGCTGATGACCTCAGCCTTCTCCTAGCTCTTCCCACGCTCGCATGGCCAAGCCCGCGCAAACTCCCATTCTGAATCCTTCCAGGTCCTCTTCCTCCATCCTCCCTGCACACCGCTGCCAGCACGGCTCCAGTATGTCGGCGCTTCTCTGGTGCACCTGCTCCGAAAGGCTCCTCCCTTGAGCTTCTTTATCAGACCACGCGGGCGGGACGCCGCGCGGTGCGACGTGGGGATTCTTGCACATGCTCAGAAAGCGCTCTCGGACGGTGCTTTGCCAACAAGCGGTTCCATGGGCAATTGCCGCCGATGCCGTGTCGCGCCTTGCCGTACTCCGTCGTGCCCCTGGTCGCGGTGCCGCGTTGCGGGGTGTCGTGGAGTGCCGCACTGCGCGCTGCGGCGCGGCGCCGTGCGGTGGCATTTCGCGCGCAGACACGTGCCTTACAGTCTGGTGTCGCGCTGCGGGTTAGAGTGCCGCAAGGCGCTCTGCCCCAGTGCCGTGCCCTGCAGTGCCGTTTTTTGGCGTGCCAAGGCGTTCCAAGCTGGGTGCCGTTGGCAACGCCACACGCGCTGGCGCATCGCCTGGAGAGCGCCTCCATGGCTTCTGGGACAAGGCGCAGGTCACCCTCGACACGATGAGCCCTGGAGCCCCGTGGGCGTACCCGACGGCGGACGCCGACGCCGACGAGGCGTCGGGCCCAGTGCGCAGGCGGCCCGCCGCGCGCGGCGCCTCGGAGAGCCGCGTCGCGGACGCGCGCCGCCGGCAGCGCTGCCCAGACTTCTGCAAGCCATGGTTGCTGAGATTGGAGAGGCCTGACGGCCGGTGCCGCCGACCCTGATCGAAAGGGCTAGGAGTGGGGGGAGGAAGCGGAGGAGGAGGAGGAGGAGGAGGAGGAGGAGGAGGAGGAGGAGGAGGAGGAGGAGGAGGAGGAGGAGGAGGAGGAGGAGGAGGAGGAGGAGGAGGAGGAGGAGGAGGAGGAGGAGGAGGAGGAGGAGGAGAGGAGGAGGAGGAGGAGGAGGAGGAGGAGGAGGAGGAGGAGGAGGAAGTGCATCCTTTGTGTGCCCGCTCGAAGAAAGTGCGCCCCGGGAGTGTGATATTCTGACTTGGGACGTGCTCCCGGAAGAGGAAGAAGTGCATCTCGGGCGTGCCCGCTCGAGGAAAATGCGCCCTAGGGGGGTGGTATTTTGACTCGGGGCCCGCTCCCGGGACGCCTCTGCGGGAGGAGGAGGAGGAGGAGGAGGAGGAGGAGGAGGAGGAGGAGGAGGAGGAGGAGGAGGAGGAGAGGAGCAGGAGGAGGAGGAGGAGGAGGAGGAAAGGAGGAGGAGGAGGAGGAGGACCAGGAGGAGGAGGAAGTGCATCCCGTGCGTGCCCGCTCGAGGAAAGTGCGCCCCGGCGGGCGTCGTATCTGCCCCGGGCCCCCCCCCCCTCCCCCCCCCCTGCGGGGAAGGGATCAAAGGGAAGGGGCTTCCCTTCGACTCCACTACGACGTCGTTTAATTTCGCTTTGGATAGCGCGCTTGAGGAGGAGAGCCCTGGGAGGGGGAGAACGGAGACGACGGAGACGACGAGTCGAACGGAGAAGCCCCTCACACACGCCGACAGGGTCGGCGGATTTGGAGCCGGCTGGGGTTCTGAAGAGGCCCTGCCCTGGACCCGGCGAGCAGGACGGGCAGCGAGGTTCGAGGCGCTGCGCTTGGGAAGGTCGTTTGTTTCTGTTGGCCTGTGGGGGCCGTGTTCGGGCTCCGGGGCCGTCCAAGACGGATCCGGGGTGAAAACAGATTTTCAGCGGATGTGCCTTCACCTCCCCTTCTCGACCAAGTCTCCCAGCTCAGGCACCCTGGCCGCCTCCAAGCCGAGATCGTCTCGCCTCGGCCGGCCCTAAGACCAGCGCCTGGCGCCCGAGCGCACGCACAGCCACGCGCGCGCGCACGCACTCACGCCCACAACCCCGCGCGAGGAGGCACACACGCAGACACGCACACGCACACACACACACACACACACACACACACACACACACACACGCACACACGCGCGCGCGCGCACACCCACGCACGGATGCGCACGTGCGCACACATCCGCAACAGGATGGAGACTCGTTGCCGCCGATTGCCGGGCTGACGACCCGTACTCGCGCCCAGCGCCTTTGCCACCTCCCGCGCGCAGCTGCTCCAGCAAACGTCATCATTCCGCGTCCATCCTGCCATTGCTCTCCTCCTCTCGCCCCCGTCTCCCCCGCCTTCCCAGTCCCCCCACCCCGCCGCCTCCGCCCGCTTCATTCTTCGGTTCGTCTTCCACGTCACCAGGGACAGACGTCTGAAGCTCCATATCTGAAGTTCGAGGATCCAGGATGTAGAGAGGAGTCCGAATCTTCGGCTTCGAATCTTCCGATTCGAGGTTCGAGGTTGAGAGTTTTCAGGTTCTGGACGCTTTCGGATCTGTTTGGAATTCCGACGACCCTTCGGAGCATCCAGCGGTTTCCAGGGATCTCCAGAGCTCTTTGGCAATGCGCCCGCCATCCATCCCTGCCCGCGCGCCACAGACTCTGTCCACGCCAGGGCAACCACGTGTATCAAGTTTCCAACGGCGCAGCGTAGCAGTCCAGTGACAACATGTTACATGTGGATATGCACAGATATAGAACGATTCGTGCATGCACATAGATATACATGTATACACATATGTGTACCCCTGTCTTTCTTCTCCCGTCTATGTGCTAGTACGGGCCCGACTATTTTACATATTTGCTTCCACTTCCCGCCCCCAGCTGTGGCCGTCTAGGTTGCTGCGTCGAAGTCTCTGAGCTTGGCGCTATTGGGCGCGGCGCCGGTGAACGAGAGAGGCCAGAAAGAAGGGAAGGAGCGTCCAAAGCACGGATAGCAGGGCGGTTCTCCACGCGGGTGCGCTCGCGCGGGGCTACCGCGCGCGCGCGCCTACGGCCGTATACGGGCGCCGCGCGCGCCTGCCCCCGCTACGCCCGCAAACGCGACCACGACCGCCACCACCGCGCGCGCCCCGCGCGCCGCCACCGCCGTGCACTACGGGGCGGAGGGGAGGACCGAGGACACGGGCACGGTGAGGGGAGGAGGAGGCGAGGGCCGAGCGCAGCGGAGGCGGGACGGCAGAGGGAGAGGGGGGCTTTGGGAGAGCAGGGCCCAGGGGCAGGGCGGATGGGGGGGTCAGACCCCCTACGTCGTGATATTTGCCCGCAGCATGGGCACCTGAATGGACGGGCTTCTCATTCCCAGTCGACTCTTGACTGTCCCTTGGGCCCGCCTACGGATCGCGGGCGCCGAAAAGTGCCAAAGGGTTTCTCGTCGTGACTTCTGCCACAGCGAGAGGGGCACCATGGCTGAGGCGGCCGAGGGGCGGTGGAGTCCAAGGTGGGGGCGGTGGCACCGCGGTGGCACGCAGGCGCCCTGGACATCGACGAGCTCCTTGAGCCGCGATCAACGATCGTCGACGTGCCTGGGCGGGCTGCCAACGGCAACGCTAAGGAGGACGACGACGACGTTGAGGAGGAGGACGACGACGACGAGGACGACGACGACGACGGCGGCGACGACGGCGACGACGACGGCGGCGACGGCGGCGACGGCGGCGACGGCGGCGGAGCCACCAGGTCTTTCAACATCGACGAGCTCCTCGAGCCCGGCGAGCCGTCGCCCCTCGTGGAGCGGGTCTGGCAGCAGACGGAGCTCAGGGCGGCCCGGCCTGGCCAACCCTCCCGCGGGTACCGCCCCGCGGTCGAGTAACGGTCCAAGGTCGTGCGAGCGGGGTGAGGCCATGCGGGGGGGGGCATCTTCCCTGAGATCCGGACGTTGCAATGTTGTTCACACCAGGGGTTCTCGCTGGGTTTCTGGCCTTGGGTGCGCCCGCCCCGAAGTTCAGGTCCAGGGGCTGGCCGCCGCCACCAGGGGCCTCAACACCGATTACTTGGGCAGCCTGGCAGGCAAAATATACAAGGATCACCTCGAGGCACTCGGCCGTTTCCACGCCTCCTGAGAGACCTGCGCCGACTAGGAACGACGATGACGGTGAAGATATGATGGTGAGGAAGATGACGCGGTTGAGGAGGAGGGAGCAATCATAGGGATGAGGGCGATACCGAAAATAAGGACGGCGAGCGACAGCGCGCAAGTTTAGGGGAGGTGCGTTGTTACACTGCTCGTGTTCTTTTGACAAGGCTTGGTCACGAGCGCAAGGAGGAACGGCGGCACACGGCATAGAAGGAACCAGCAACATTAGTTTTTGTGCATCGGATTGGTCGCATTTGCCAGCCCACAGTTGCACTGGATTGTTGATTCGAGTGCGAGCGAATAGACGACCACACGTTCTGTCGGCGACGGTTCAATCATGGTGAGCGTAGGTGTTCTTTGCGACAAGGGTGACAAGGGTGATACCACCCAATCTGATGATGCTGGTTGTAGTAAGGCATGTACGGGTACGGACAACTAGAGAAGCAGGGTGAGGAGGAGGAGGAGGAGGAGGAGGAGGAGGAGGAGGAACAGCGAATATGAAGAGACAAGCAGATGCGGTGCGGAAGCATACGGCAATATCTGTAAGGAGTGAGGAGTATAATGCGGATGATGATGAGACGGTCGAGCAAGGAGGATGAGGAGAAGAAGGAGGAGGAGGAGGAGGACAGGGAGGAGGCGGGGAGGGGTGTGTAGACGGAGGGGGGTTGGAGGACGAGAGTTTGCGTCATGAGGCGAGGGAGGGTGCTCAGGAGGAGGAGTGGAGGAAGCGAATAACGACGAGAAACACAAGGATGAGGCGCTGTCTCCTCCTCGTCTGTTTTCTCCTCCTCCGCCGCCGACTCGATCGGTCTCCTCCAAGTCCCCGCAGGAGGGGATGGGCCCTTGAAACCTCCGAGGTACCCGACCCTCGAGGCGGTGTGCTCGCTCGGAGGAGGCTCACGGGGCCTTTCCCCGGGGGGCGGGGGAGGGGGCGAACAACTCATGTTGCCCGCGCCGCTGGCTCGTTTGGCCCCCACCCTCACCCCTTCCCCCCGGGGAGGGCGGGGGGAGGGGGGAGGGGGGGGGCGAACCCCAGCGGCGTCCGCCCGTCGGGATGGTTCAACCCTCGGGGGCATGACGAGCCCTCCCCCCATGGGGAAGGAGAGCGGTGGGCAGATCGAAGCACGCCTCCCCGACGCTGCCAAGCCGTTCGTTCTCCCCCTCCCCCCGCTCCTGAGGAAGGGCTAGCCCAAGCCCCCGCGGTTGCCGCTGCTCGGGGCGGTGAAACTTTCGGGGAGCTGGGCAACCGTTCCCCCCGCGGGGTGCGGGGGTAAGGGGTGGCCAAACGACCTAAGCCTCCCTCGCCAACACCATCACCACCATCCTTCACCATCAATCACAGCGGATGGGCGACGCGCCAAGATCCCCCCCAACCAGTCGCCTTGTTTCGCAGGCCCCCGACTCATCATCCTCGCACCCATTAAATCCTCCGCCCAACACAACACCGCCTCAAAAGTTGATAGCCCCCGCTCCCGATTTTAATGCATCAGAGCTTATGTAGTGCTGCACGTACATGCGCTACGCACCCAATGGTGATTCAATATGAGGCCCTATGACTATCCAAAAGCACTGAGCTGACGGTGCGAGCACATACACATGATGATACGTAGGCGCGCTCATGGTGAACCCCTAGGAGAAAAGGCAATTGGCACCACGGGGCATGGCGATTCCTTCAACCACGGAAGAACACTTTGAAGCACGGGCTTTTGGGCCATTGAAGAACCTCGAGCCATGCCCCCTGGGCTATGATTCAGTTTGTCCAAGGGGTACTCCACAAGAAAGCTTAGGTAGTCTCAGCACCCCGGCCACGCCTCCCAGTACGCGCCCCTAAGGCTTTCCACGCTGTAGGGTCGGGGTGCTGAAGTAGCCCAGGGCTGTTCGGGGGGGCTGCTGAGGCCTGCGAGAACTACTTCTTTGGGGCGGCGGAGCTGTCTGCTCGCAGCCCCAAATCCCGCTCATCCCGACACCGTGGCCAGGTCGTGGTTTAGAAGCTTCTTGCAAGTGTCATGGAGGTTCTTGGGAGGGCGCTGGGGGGGCCTTTTGGGGGGGGAATATGTGGCCCTCTTGGGGCACTCCACTGCGTGCTGATGGCAGGGGACAGGCAAGGTGCAGGGCCATGACCGCCAGCCGTCGCGAACAAAAATAACGTCGGCTGCTTCAAGTTGTCCCTCCCCCCCCCTCCTCCCGCGGCAGGATGAGAAGCTGGGCGGCTCTGCCCACGGCGCGGCCGCCGCGTCCGCAGCCGACGTCAGCTCATCCGCCAGCGCCCCCGATGCCCGCCCGCGCCCTGGTGCCCGGGATGCCCAACATCACGTCAAGGGCAGGCCTCCTCGGACTTCCCTCCTCATCTCCTTCCCTCCCCTATCTCCCTCCCTCCCTCCCTCCCTCCCTCCCTCCCTCTTCCTCCCTCCTTAGACCTGACTTCAACTGCAGTCCGGCTTCTAATGGAGCTCAGAGCGCGTCGTCCTCCATTCGTTGGGCCAAGCACCCCCACGTACCCTTCTGAACGAACAGCGAGGCCATTGGACCCTTGGACTACGGTCTAGTGTCTAGTGTCTAGTGTCTAGCATATGTTGTCGCATTTTATGGTGGGCCTCCTTGGAGGCGTTTAGTACAGTCATATCCCACCCAGAGGGGGGACCACGCCCCTTTGGGTGGGATATGATACGAACATACATCTGCCACCCAGAGGGGGGACCACGCCTTTCTAGTGTTTTCACGAGGAGATGCTACAACATCCCTCACCAGAACTCCATCGGCACAGCTGTTTTCTCTTTGTTTGGTGCCTCTGAAGGCCCGTCGCAGGCCCAAGGACCACCAACAATTTGAGCGGGAATGAAAAAGACGAGAGGTTCAGGGACCCACGCCATGGAGAATTCGTGACATCGGATGTCGTTTTCCCTCCTCCTCCTCCTCCTCCTCCTCCTCCTTCTCCTCCTCCTCCTCCTCCTCCTTCTCACCCTCCCCCCCCCACCGTGTCCCCCAAACTGCCAAATTCTGGCTCATGGCGTGTGTCCTCCTCCCACTCATCCCCCTCCCTCTTCTCCGCCCCATCCCTCTTGCGCTCGTTTCACCCCTTCCTTCTCTTGGAAGAGTCGTGCCCTTGCCTGGCTGGACTTGACCAACGTGTACGCCCTCACTGCACCGCTGGCCCAGAAGCCAGGCCCAGCCGATAGGAGGGATGACGAGGACAAGGAGGACGAGGAGGACGAGGAGGAGTAGGAGGAGGAGGAGGAGAAGGAGGAGGAGAAGAAGGAGGAGGGACACCTTGTCCTGCGCTCGCTGGCATGGCTCCGAGGTGCCCTCAGCGCCCACGCCGACGGCGCCGCCGCCAGCGACGGCGGCCTTGCCGCCAGCGCCGACTCTGCCGCAGCCGTGCCCTCC